CTGAAAATAATTATTTTTTTATTTCTTATTTTGCGGTCTTAACCAATTAAAACTCTTGTTCGGGTACGGAAATATGCTTCTAAACACATTTTATTGACAAAAAAAACTTAGAATTCAAAACGACGATTATTAATGGCAAATTTGTAGAACCTTTTTTGACAAAACAGCAACTGTTTTGCTTTTTTGCAGATAATTACAGCTAATTTATTTCTACCAAGTCAGTTCTACACTACTGTGACCTGTCTTTGAATGAAACAAATATAAAACTGTTTCTGGCTTTTTCCTCCATTAAAAGTCGCCAAATTAGCCAGCCCTTTCTTTTTTTGGTTCTGTTTTTTTATTTTTTATATTCTTTTTCAACTGCCTACTTATTTATTTATTTGGCAAAAACTCTTCACTCTCACCTTTCTAAGTGCTTAAATTCTATAAATGAAATTTCTGTCTGCTCTTCGCATCTATGCGAACAATTGTCGTTAAAATAAAACTGAATTAGAAATGCAACAGAATTTTGTATTTGTTCAGCAGTGTTTCTTCACAATTAACAGATTGCTGGTAAGGAGAACCTTGGCGAATTTTTATGCATTTACATTTTTTGCTAAACTTATAATTTTTATAACTCTGATGACAAACTGCGAAGTGTATTTGAACTTTTCTATGTAATTCTTACCTATAAGCGCATTCAGCGCAAGAATTTGGTGTACCATCTTCCTTTGATAAGTCCAGCTTTATTTCTCACTTTGGAAAGAAACAAATTGAAAATATTCTGGAAACTTCTAAAAATGATCGTATTTTAGAATGAGTTAATTCTTCACTGAGGTAAAAACCAGAGAAGAATGTTCTTTTGATTTTTTATTTGTCACTTAGAATGTATTTGACCAATTAGCCTTGTAAAAAGATATTCTCTTCTATCACTCTCTTCTTTTTGATTTTTATTAACAATAACAAGTGTATCGGTCACTTTGTTACCTGATTTTAAACGCAAAAATGGTAAAAGTTTCAACACAATTTATTATTTCAACATTCTCCTTCCTATACTGGTATAGAATCCTCCGAATCAACGTTTGGACGAGGAACATTTCGGTACCTATCCATCGTTGATCTAATCCTTAATACTCTATCACAATAAACCTTCCTGGACTGACGTGGTGAAAAAAGAGAAAACTAAGAGGGAGAACTCGATTTCTTTTTTTGTCTATTGTTCTTTGACTTGGTTTCAAAAGTGACGCTTGAATTCTTTTCCACTTATCATTACATTTGTCTATTTGCACTGTAGACGAGGCTTTTAAGATGATCTCTTTTAGTAACGTTTTTTTATTACTCTCTCAAAGCTGACTGTTTATCGTTATCTCCAGTAACTAATTTTCCTCGAATATGCCAACCAACTTAGATGCTTTTAAAATGTTGTTTTTTCGTCTAACATCTGAGAAAAAAGTATTCTTCTAGGCTTTTTAGAAAAATACTGTTTTTTCTCAGCAGATATAAATGTGGATTGTTGTTTCAAATCAGACTGATAATTTGAAAAATGTCCATGTAAAACTATAAAGTAATTTTAAGACGTCTTGATATTTTTTCCTGGCATCAAATTCTTATTTTTGAATTTGCATAACTTTTTGTATTATTGTACCATTATTATTATTATTATTATTATTATTATTATTATTATTATCAATGATATTATAATAACAGTAATACCAATAACTAATACCCTATTATTATTATTATTGTTCCTATTATTATCATTATACTGCTGTTATTACTATTATTATTGATATTAAAAGCACTACTGCATTAGTATTATTACTCACTTACTTACTTACTTGCTTACTTTGCTAGACTCAGTTTTTTTAGCGGATTAAAAAGCCTATTTATAACTGTCAGTTCAATCCTTTAAATATTAAATACTGAAAAAAGTTTCACTAAATCCGATTTCGGTTTTTCAAAGAATCATTGTGTCTATACTTATAGCGGAAGGAAGCCAATGAACCTGTCCGGCTGACTCTGTAAGTTTGAGTGTTGTTGACAGAGGGGCGGCGTGTGTTTGCTGAAATGACCCTTCTCTTACCCACCAAAATTTTCTTAGCAGTCACCGTTACGTTCTTTGGCGACAACGAAGCATTTCACAGTTTTGCTTCCGCAAATCACCAACTCTATCACTTCTGCTCACTCCAATAGCAAGTGTCAGTGGTTTAAAAAAATCATTGTTCAAAGCCGTATTTTGAGTAGTTAGGGTGATCTGTTGCTGCTAGTGTTACTGGTGTCACTTTTTTTTTCTGTAATGATTTGATGATTAGGAACTACTTGTCAAAAACTGTCGCAGTGCTTATGGTGTTTACAGTTCATTATCCGTATTTTAAACGTGTTTTCTTTATTGCAGGATCATTCTTTTCCAGGCGGAAAAATTGAATATGGAAATCTATATACTCTTACTGCTATCGGTCAGCATTAAGGCAGGTGAGCTTTTAGCTTAGTTTACATTTTTTTGCCTTTTGCGGTTGTCTCATTCTTTACAAAGTTTATAAAGTAGGGGACAGTCAAAAAAAGCAGCCTTCATTTCACACTTAGAGCATTATAAAAGTATTTTTTCTTCCATTTCCTACAGTTCTTGCAAGAAACTATAGTTCTTTTCAGAATCATGCTGTTGATGTTGTTAATACTTTACCGTATTAATAATTACTGTTTATTAGCTTTTATTAGTGCTGGCCGGCATAACAGATGAGTGGTCCTTAAACTCACTGAAAACCTGGCTACAGAAAAAACTTTACAGAAGACGAATCAGATGAATTCTCAATTTTCGCTACTTTGTTTAATTGAAGACTGAAAATTGACGTATTAAAACTGCAACGACAAACTGAGTTTGTTTTATTACGAATTCTAGGAGATGAAACATGGAAATATTGACAAAAAATAGTTACTAATGCTGATTTACTGAATAAGCCGAGCCAATAAAATTAAATTCTTTTCTCTTTTCTCAATGAACAGCTAAAACTTTCTTACTGAAAAATGTTGTTAAAATTTGCTTTACTTTTAAATTATTTTTACATTATTTCCATTTTTGAAATTAAGAGGGAAAGGACGCAGCATTAACTTATGTTAGATGGCTGCTCAATAATGATATGTTTTCTTCGCAAAATCAACGAAGGGAAGAGAGGGCAATAAAAGCGATATTAAATGTAAATACTTGACGTTCAGACGAGATTTAAAAATCTACTTACAGTCAGGGTAACTGACCGCCTGATGTTTTTACTAAACCGTTTTTTTCTGTTCAGTAGGTCTACTCGGTGACAAATATTGTTTGACCTGATTTTCGAGAATGAACCACTGTTCTGAGTTGGCAAGTACTTTAGTTTCATTATTTAAAAAAATTTATTTTGAGATAGTTTTTTTCCGGAACAAGCTACTTTAGATCAACCTTAATATGTGTCAAAAAATGAGTACAACTAATTGAATACAAGCTTTTCTCACTCAATCTTCTCCTTCTAGAAGTTATGTGTAAGTGCAGAGTTTTAACGAACAACGAGTTAACTAACCCATTTTAGAAGAAGACGAGACGTATATATGTTTACCAACCAAAAAAAGAATTACGCAACAGCACAGTTATAAACTTCCTTGAATGTCATTAAAAAAACTATTTTAATTATTACAACTTAACTGCATTTGCTGTTCAGCTCTGGAACTTAAATATTTGAAATGTGAGGACTTGTTTGTAAATCTAATTTATATTTTTTGCAGACATGATTTATGTCATTTCTCTTGATCTTAATAAAGAAAAAAAATTTACTTAACAATTTCTGGATATTTTTTGCGTATCGGTTGTCGAACACTGACTGATTATGCACTTCACGTGAAAAAAACAACAAAACTTACTTTAATGTAAAATCAAACATCTCTTAATATTTCTCATTTTATTCTCGATCCTCGTTAATATAGTCACAAAGAAAAAAATGAAAACTTCTGCATTTTTTTAAACAATACTGATATACAATTAGTTTTACTTAATCTGTTGTTTACTGAACTTTCGCATCACTCTAAAATGTTTCATTAATAGCACCATCGACTGTTTGGACTGCTGCTATATTAGGTTATCGCATTTTTCTAAACATATGATGTTGTTGAAACAGTGGATACAGCCAGTAAATAATCGAACAAATAGATACCAAGAATTTTTTTTTATTTAATTTAATCTGTTATGGTATGTTTAATTTTGGCTCTCTCAAGCCTTTAAATCTTCATTTTTTTTTTCTTTTTTCGTTTTCGTGTTTATTTTTGGCTTTAGAGAAGCTCTTTTTAATTTTTTAAATGTTTTTAATTGCTCCCCATAATGAAAAAGTTACAGGGTTTTCCTTCATTAAATACCTACTTTTATCAGAGTTTATGGCTGTGTAATTTCCGCCTTAATGTTCAAAAAAAAGCTCTAAAAATAACGCTACCAAATTCAGAAAGGATTTTTAAGGTTAAAAAGATTTATTTGATAGAAGCGAATAATGGCCGACATCGTCGCAATAGTCTAAATCAATTGTTACAGCCATACGTATAAGTGTTAATAAAAATTATGAATATCCAATTTGCGGGCAACAATAACTATCCTTCCTCATGTCACACTTAACTAGAAGGGGCGGGATAAGCCATCAAGAAGAACTTCCTCAACAGTTATACGAAAAATTTTTTCTCTTACCGTGTTTGTATATTTGTGCAACAGTTATTCTGAGCAGATTTATTCAGCACTTTCTTAATACTTTTCTGCGTACTATTCGTCAAACACCATTTGGTTAGCATCCCACTTGAAAACCTGCAAGTAAGTTTGGGAGCATCACATAGATAACCATCTGAAGTGTCATATGAAAAGTTTTTGTTGCTGCTACTGTTTTTTTACTCGTTATTATTATTAACTCACATAACCCTTCTATTTAACTGCTTTTTTCCACCTAAATGAAGTCAAACATTTAGAATGGGATTATCTCCAGTGGAAAAATGCGTGGAAAAATTTTGATTGGAAAAAACAAATGATGTTTTATGCAGAAGATGAAGAAATTCGATGCTACTCTTGCACATCAATTGATGCTTCGGAAATTGTTGGTGGTGCCGGAGTACATCCTGGTGTCTATCTGACATCAATACTTTTGGCATCGATACCAGTAACTAATCAATGCTTCAATCCAATCCATCTAAGATCAGCACCAATTTGTGATGATGGGCTATGTGTTAAGATCAACTACACGGCAAAAGCTACTGGTTAGTGAAAGAATAAGCCAAAAAATATACGGAAAAGAAGCCACGAAAAAAAAAAGAAAGCAATAGTGAAAACAGCGATTTATGTGGAGGTTACATTAAGAGCGATATAAACATGCTAGAAATTTGCAGGAAGAATGGATGTACTGCGAGCTTGTTTACCACGGTCAAAAGGTGTTTTTAAACAAGTCTGTACTGAGTTTGTATCTCGTCAGGCTGAAGGAACCTGGTGTGTTTGTAGTGGCAACAAATGCAACAGTTCGCCAGCTGCGGCACCATTTTCTATCCTGCTTTTGCTTGTCGCAGTTGTAGCTGCAGGTTCACTGGTATAACACGCAATGCGAGAGCGTATTAACCAAAAAAAACATTCATTTTGATGATCATTTGTATGGCTTCTTATCCTATGTTCTTTTTTTCTTTAACTGCATGAATTCAAATAACAAGCAAACAAAAAATTCGTCTTTTCTAAATGTGCTTTGGTTACAGTTCTACAGATGCACTTGCTTTTTTTTTAATGCTATTATTTTGTTACTGCTTAAGAACTTACACAAATACATAAACGAGGTAGCAGGCACGGATGTTTAGTTAGTGTCAAATACACTGTCTTTGTCCTTTCATGTATTACTTTTGAATTTTGATTGTTCCTGCTTCTTTAACATTCCCTCCTTTTCCTAACTTAAATTTTATCATTTTTTTTATATTTTTTCCCACTTTTTGAGCCGGTACTTGTGTATCTATCAAGAAAAATAATAGCAACAATTTTGAACGCATAACATTATTTTAAATAATTTTTCACAAAAAAATACGAGAGGATACAGCGGTAGTGGATGAGAAGCAGATGTGACACGGTTTGCCGGCAATGCAGAAGGTTTTCTTCTACTGAACAGTGAAAGCGACGATTAGCAGTCTTAACAAAGAAAAGAAACGCTAAGATTCACAAAAAATCTCTCTTTCCGCTTCTTTTGACACCTTTTTATTATACATTAGAATGAATTTTCAATTATGAATGCTGTTTAAAAGGTTATGAGGTATTGTTAGGTAATAATTCCCAAACTGTTCCAAATCTGGTCATCTAATCATTCATTTTCTTCCATCTGCTCTCCTCCCCTTCAACATCTCTAAGCATATCTGTTTAAACGGTAGAACCAGCCTCTTCTGGTATTCAGCCAGAGCATATACAAAAGGAAGTTCACTGTACAGCGAAATGAGTCATTATAACAGTGGCTAAAGGGAAAGTTAGAAAAATAATTGTTAACAGTAAATAACAAGTTTCTGCCGATTTTCAAGTTTTGTGCTTTCTACTGCTATTCAAACATTGTGTTTATTATTATTTAAGAAGCCGAAATGACTTTTTGGTTTACCAAACTTTCTGTTTTAGAAAACAAATAGAAAGTAGATTTTTCAAAATGTTAGACTAAAAACTGCGTAAGAGAACGTTAATAAAAAGGTTAAAGAGGTGGAAGAAGGTTTTCGCTCTGCTCTTTGCTTTTTTTTT